CTGCAGGCACGGCCACGAAGAAGCTATCCTGATCGAAGAACTGTATCTTGAATTGTTCCTGGTACTTCCAAATTGATCCTGACCCTGCATGGGAACCTGTTACTTCCCTTATAAACCCTGTAACTGTGGGTACTGTCTCTGAGTTTTGTGTGGCCACTGCAAAAAATTATCAAACCCCACAGAGAAGTGCCATGAGAGGGACGGCTGGTGTCAGAATTGGTGAAAAGGTTGGAGAGAAGAGGTATGTCTGACCTCTGCCTCACAGGAATTATCTTTAGGCTGATGTTGATGGTGATTCTCTCTCCTCCTCGTGAAGTTAGACAAGGTTTGACGATCGTGCTGCGCCATTTTTACAAGTGTCATGGACTGAATTTTTTTCCCAAAAATATATGTCAAGTTGGCTAGGCCATGATTCCCAGTACTGTGTGGTTGTCCTCCATTCTGTGATCTAATTTTCCTATGTATTATAAATCCTAATCTCTGCCTGTGGTTAATAAGGCACGATTAGCTTAAAGAGGATTAGGATGGGATGCAATGCCCTTACTCAGGTCACAGCCCTGACTGGATATAAGGGGAGTTTCCCTGCGGTGTGGCCTGCATCACCTTTTATTTTACAAGAGATAAAAGGAGAGAGAAGGAAGCAGTGAGAGGACCTCCCACCACCAAGAAAGCAGAGTCTGGAGTGAGCACATCCTTTAGACCCGGGGTCCCTGAACTGAGAAGCTCCTAGACCAGGGGAAGATCAATGACAAGGACCTTCCCAAAGAGCCAACAGAAACAGAAAGCCTTCCCCTGGAGCTGGCGTCCTGAATTCAGACTTCTAGCCTCCTAAACTGTGAGAGAATAAACTTCTCTTTGTTAAAGCCACCCACCTGCGGTATTTCTGTTATAGCAGCACTAGATAATTAAGACAAACAGGTTAACACAGGTGAACAGGAATGGTAGGTGTAGGTATACCTGTGTGAAATTTTATACATAGGTTTATATACTCACCTGAAAATATACACCTACACACACACAATACACATTTTATATAGATATAGAAATAGGCATAAATGTGCTAGACAACACAGAATTCCTGAGATCCTTAGTGTAATAATAATAGTAACAGCTAATATTCACATAGCACTTTTATTGCCGTGTGCAGAGGACGCTTCTGAGTATCTCCTCGTATTCACTCATTGAATCCTCTCGACAACCCTACGAAGAAGGTGTTCTCACCGCCCCCATGTTTGATCGAGGCACAGAGACTCGGGCTGCCAAGGCCACCCAGTGCAGTCAGACCTTGACCCAGGCACTGAGCTCCAGAGACCCTGTTACTCACAGGCTTACACACACATGCACACACACACACGCTCACTCAACACACCCACACACACGCACATACACTCACACCCATGCACGGCCACACGTGTCACGGACACACTCAGCTTCCCTGTCCCCTCGGTGTCCTGGCCGGCCACGCCAGGCAAGAGTAAACTGAGGAAATAACTTCCAGTGATGGGTCTAGGAGGTCAGGTAGGAGGACCCAGATCTCTGGGAACCCCAAGACAGAAAATGGGCCTTGTGGAGTGAGACTCCTTCCAGCATCAAAGACCCCCATCCTCTCGATGGTCTGCACGGCTGTTCAGTTATGGCTCTCTTGGTGCCGGTCTGATCTCCGTCTCATCTCACACGTGGCCCGAGGGGCCCTCCAATACCACAGATCTTCCTGCTCAGTGCTGGTCACTGCTGACCCTACATCTGTGGGCCCCAGCCACCCCACCTAACTGTATGGGGGGGGGGCATGCAATTAAAGCAGCCACTGGCCTGTGAGCCTGGTCCCCAGGAAGGAACTTGGCCACCTTCATCCTTCCCAAGACCCCCCAGCTCTCCACAGCCAAAGGCCTCATTGGAACAAGGAGGCTTTGTCTTTGAGCCCTTTTCTCAGAATGTCCCCATCTTGGCTCCAGGCAGCAATCACAGCAGAAGTTCCAAAATCAATAACTTTGCCTTAAAACAAAACATGGCTTGTTTTGGAAGAGCTTCTGGCTCAGCTCTTGTGTTTGTCCAAGAGTTTAGAGGCTCTCTCCTCTCCCAAGGTTTAATGAGCCCTGATGACAGGGCAAACGTCTTTCTACTCAAACAAAGGGCCATTGCAAAAGGCCTGGGGGAGAAGATTAGACTTTTTCCCTGCCCAGGACAAAGGAGAAATCCAAGGGCAGGGACAGGAAATGCTTCCCTCAAAAGTCCTTGACTGTGGCGTCCTCAGTCAAACACAGCTGGAACCATCAAGACACTTTTCATTGGATAATTACCTCCAAAAACCCAAAGACTCTAGAGCTAACCCCCTTAACCCACGTGGTCAGCATCACTCTGCTTAGAAAGGGTCCGGCTCCATAGCCTTCTCTCCTTCTATGAACCAGTAGCTCAACAAGGATTCCAACCCACCTAACGTTAGCAGAACCTATTCTCTAAGTAAACCATCATAGTCACTGGGTGGTGGCTGCCCATGGTTGGAAGGGCCTTTCCCCAACACTATGAGGTGTGAATGGTGCTGCCATCTTCTTTCATATTCAGAAGCTTGGCCACTGCTGGTTGGCCAAGGGGTGGGACCTGGCAGAAGGTAGACCAGTTAGAGGCCTTCTCCAGGTGTTTACCTTGGGACCTGAGACAGCACAGCACAAGCCCCTCAGAAGACATCAGTGGGATGAAAAGCATGGAAACCACCGGAACCATGTTTTCTCCTGTGGAAAGACCACGTGGGCAAACAAACCAATGAGCAGAGTGAAACAGAGCGAGACGGTGTAAGTCTACTGGGGCCAGGTACCCCCCCAGGGCCAGCTGCTCCTCCGCTCTGCCTGTTCTTCCAGAAACCTCCAACAAATTGCCTTCCTTCCACTTCCAAAAGTTCTAATGCTCCTTTTTCTCTCATCGAGTCTTCTCCAAGCTCCCAGAAGGCTTCCTCTTCCTCAGCTCTGAATCTTCCCCGAGCAGCTAGCAGGCATTCTGACCAGAGCCGTGCTTTGCCTCTCTGATGTTCTATGACCTTGCTGGCATGCGCCCAGCATAACCTACTTCAGCAGCAGGCTTGCTAGATGTGGCAGAGATAGGTATATAGCTCTTTGCTTAAGGCGATTAATTATAAAAAATGAGAGAACGTGTGTTTTTGTGAGTGTAAGTGAAAGCGTTTTTGTGATGATGGCTGGAGTTCTACCAGGGGAGCCAGCACAAACATGAAAATCAGCTAAAATTGGTACCTCCTAAAATATCACTGTTCCCAGACAGTCTAAAGGAGATCAGGAAGGAAGAAAGGGGAGATTCTGCCCCTGGGTCTCGTGTTGAGGCCGCGAGTGTTCTGGGAAGGTGAAAGGAGGCCTAGAGCTTACACAGGTCTCGTGTACAGATAACACGTACACACACACAGATCACTATTCCTGAAGCTGCTTGGACTAGACTACTCCAGAATCCCATTTGTGAAACTAGAAAAACGGTTGTGAATTAACCCCAAGAACATAACTAAAAAATCTAGCTCTCCCACATCGACTGTGAGCAGCTGGCTGCTGAAACCCCATCACTCTGGCCTGCAGATCGGAGCCACGTGGGCCCCTTGACACACAGAAGCAGCCTTACTTCCGGCCCGGCGCAGAGCAATTTGTATTTTCCAAGGAAACTGGACTCCACAATTCTGTTTCTCTTGCCATGCCTTTCTGCACAGCCCTGCTCTGGCCCTGAGAACACCACACTCCGCCTTCCCCATCCTACATGCTTGTCTCTGCATGTTTGGTGAGCAGAGTGTCTTCCTGGGCCTCCCTTGTGCAGCGGATCAAACCAGGCCTGGACCACTGCTTGTCCAGTGGCTTTACCAAACGACAAGGGCGCTGTCAAAGTGCCAACTGGAAATTACTCAGCGCTCACAGGGAAACGAGGCGGAGTGGACGTTTCTGTTAGCGCGAAACCCCACGCCAGTCTTGGTAAGCACGCCATCGAGATGGAGTCACTCACGGCCCCTCCAGCAGAGGAAGGCACATCCTGACGCGTCTAACTGGCCCAGCTGTAACTGTAATAACCAGGATGGCTGAAGTCGCACGGCACACGCGAGTCCTGGTCTAAGAAAGTTTTCTCTTTGATACTGGTGTGAAAAAGTCATGTTAGTTTTTGGCAGCCATTTTCAATTTCTGAGCTGGACCAATAAAAACATTTTCTAAAAGTAAACTTCTATGTTCACAGAACTTACACTCTCCTTTGAAACAGACCACAATATACACTTCTCCAGGAACGGATTATCCAACAGGCACAGAAAGCACCATGCTTCCCTTGCTTACCAGATCATCTGTAGTGAACAAGCTGACATCTTTCCACCACATCAAAGACTCTGCTTCTAGGTGTGGCTGGCATCTCCCTCTCTCCCAACCCCACAGCACCTTCCTATAGAATCAAAGCCTCTTTACAAATTTACAGTCCCTGATGGGGCGGATGACCCAGTCGGCAAGGTAGATGTGGGGAAACCCAAGTGAAAGTGTTCACTACAGATGAGTAAGCAAGCACAAGTAAGCCTGTGCTTACCTTGCTTACTGGATAATCTGCCCCCGCGACTTCTCCCGTGGAAGGCGTCTCTTTCAAAGTCTACCCAGCTGTCCTCATTCTTCAAGCCTGGCGTTAGCAGTTCTGTGAGCGCAGCCGCTCAGATCCTGAGGCTAGAGGAGGACATGCAGGCCCTGTGGGGGACGCGCAGGGCTCCTCAGAACTCCTGCATCCCGTGCTGCTGACCGCGCTGACACATCCCTCCTCCGCAAGGGCAGCTGGTAGAGCCACTCACTACTGCACACTGGCGAAACCGCAACGTGTACTCGCTACACCGACAAAGACGTCTCTCTCAGCATGCCAGCACACGCGCACGCACACGCACGGGCCTCTAGGGATTGTACCATTCATTCAAAAGGGCAAGAACTAAAATTACCCTGCAAACGATGACACTGTTTTTTTTTTTAAATGGAAGTAAGGACAAAGGCTGGTCACATTCAGAGATTAACAGGCGTCATCCTGACGGCTGAGACAACCTTCTTCTCTGTCCTGGTTAACCACGTCTTAAGTCCTCAGCCACTGACAGTGGTCCTCTGCGTTCTGCTGCACTGCTGCGTGACCGAGGCCGGACAACAGGCACACTGGACATATCTCATTGGACATCGTCATCGTCAAACAGATCTTCAAAATCTAGATAAACAGAACCAACAAATTAACAAAGCAGGCAAAGGTAAGCAACTGAGGAAACGCTTCCAAATGAACCACCGGGTGGCCAAACAGTGGACAAAACAGCAAACAACCCAACTGGGACTCTCGGTTCTATGACACTGGGGCCCAGAGTCTCCGGGCAGCACACGCTCAGGACTCTGTTTCCATCCTGTTTTTGTTTAGATGATTATCTTTAAAAAGTGAATGCAGCATGTGCTGGGTCATCTGGATGACCACCTCATAACTGTCCCCAAGCGGCCCTGGCGAGTGTGCGCAGCCTCTGCACATTTCACTGACTCAAGGCCCAGATCCAATGTTACTCCCTGTTCTGATACTAGCTGGTGGCAGCCAGCTGCCTGGGGAGACTGTGCCTGACTCAGCAGCCTGGCTTCTCCCCGCTGGCAAGGACTGACTGAAAGACACATGGCCCGGACTCCAGATGAAAACCACTGCGGCAAGAGAGCCTCTCGCCGCCCGACTCTAACAAAGGTCCTCCACAGGGACAGGCGCCTGGAGTGCAAGTCAGTGACAAAGGGAGAGAAAAACCCTTCTTCCTCTTCAGGCCAGGAAAACTATCTTGTGTCCCCAATGACTATCTGAACCCTGACTAAGGGTTAATATAACCTGTACGGACAAGGCCTTAAGAAGTTGGACGAGATCAAAAGAAATACCCTGTAACGTTGCTGAAGACGGCATATAAAGTAGGTCCTTCACTGCTTAGTTGGTAAAACCATCCACGTCCTTGGTACCTAGCGCTGAAGCTCTTAAACATGAAATGGAGCTGGGACCTGCACCTGATTCATGAGAACGTGAATGGGTGACGCTGGAGCGGCAGCCGTAACTCTGCCGAGGCAGATCAGGGGACGAGAGTCCGAGTGGACAGGCAGGTGGGCGGGGCTGAGGGAGAAGGGAATGGAAACCAGCCATCAGGAGCCAGTGGAGACCGCAGAGCAGGTAGGCGCCCACGCCAGCGTCTTGGACCACGGACCAGACCAGCCACACCTCAGGTGCCAGAGCTCGTCTGTCTGCACCCAAACACAACTGCTAGACTGCACGGCTGAAAGCAATTTCACGCTATTTTTTCTCCTAAAAGCAGGGCTGCCTGCCAGCACCCCCAGCCAGTGCTGTCTGTAGTCTTACACATGCTGCACTGTGATCTGAGGAAGGGCTCCTCTGTTCTGTGATCCCGATTATTCATGTCACGACGCTACCCCCCGCACAACTTGCCGAAGAAACATTCCAATTAAAACTGACATCCCCGATTGCGGCGTCTTACCGTTAAAAAAGTCGGCGTGCACTGCCTTCTCGTTGGCCGCCAAGTCCATCAACAGCCCGGTGCTGCCTCCGGCCTGGAGGAGGGAGAGGGGGCGTCACATCAGCGTGTTTTCCACAGCAGCGGGTGACAAGCGGTCAGCGTGCCAGCCACCCCTCCTCCGCCGAGGACGAGGTGGGTGACGGGGAAGCGTCAGGCTGGAGTCAGACACTGAGCCCCAGGCTCCGGGAGTGGGGACGGGCATCTGAAGGAACTGTTTTTCAGGCCCTCCTCTCCTTTGGAAAAGACACTTGCCATTGTCCTCAGCAGCATCACCCCTCTGCGAGCCTCGAGCAAGGGCCGCGGCCTGGTCTGCCGCCTACTCAGACGGCCCTGGGCTCACTGCCAGGAGGACCTCTCACCAGGCAGTCAGCGACCCTTCGAAATCCGTGGGCTCCCCGCTCCCCCCAGCTCACACGCTCACCAGATTAGCAGCATCCTGGACCTGCCGCGACCCCGCTGACCGCAGCCGCCTTTCCTGACTCTCTTCCCACCTTCCCAGCAGCTCTGGCTCATCCTCGGGGCTCCATCCTCACCTGTCCTTTTTCACCTAGGAGCTCTCAGGGTGAGGTCACCAGTGACCTGGCCTCGTCTACTTCTGTGGGCCGATAACCCAGGTCTCCTCAGCCTTCTCCTGAGCTCCCATCCCACTGGACACAGCCAGAGAGGCCGCGAACAGACGTGCTCTCGGCCCCTCCCCCTTTCTCTGGGGAATGAGGCCACGACCTGCTCTGGCCGAGGTTCTGGCAGGGACCACCGACCACAAGGCCTTCCAGTGCACCACCATGGCCGGGCAGTCGGACTCGCTCAGATCTGGGATCACCCTCAGAGTTGCAGAGCGGGCTGGAGGCGAGCCGCCGGCGGCAGCCCCTGGAGAGCTGGCCCGCAGGCCCCAGCAGCTTCTCGGGCAGCTAAGTCAGAGGATCCTGGCCGGGGCATCTCCCGGTTCCGGTCCAAGATTCTCAGCCTCCCTCCTCTGCCCCCATCACCACAGGCGGCCGTGCAGATTCTACCACATGATACCAAGTCAGTCCGTCTGCTCTCACCGCCACCTCTCCTCAGCTGCTGCCTCCATGCAGACCGCCTCCGCCTCCTGCTCACACTACTCCACCCTCTCACCGCAACCCGACCTCCAGAGCCAAGCCTTTGCTAAGCCACACACAAGTCCCAGGGGCACTTCTGTCAAGGCGCCTGTGACATTCTATTACACCTGCAATCTGCAACCAGCCTCTCCCTGCCACGCCGTGGCCTCCACGAGGACAGGGCCTGGGTCTGACCGTCTTTGTGCCCTCTAAGCTTTCAGAAAGAGAACGCCAGGCCCTGCCATTCGGGAGCTAGGCCTTGGTGCTCTCCTCCTGAACACAAACCATCCCACAGAACAACATCAGACCAGCTCACCGTGACCATGATGGAGTGAGGACAAACAACCACACCAAAAACAGACAGACAGAACAAGACCACTGCAGAGACCACAGAAATACCGCGCACTCCCTTTTCTCCTCTCCTGGAATGGCAGCTGCTTCTCTGCAAGCACAGTTTCAACCAGCTCTTCCTCCTCCTAGAGATGGAATAAGATTCCCAATCGGAGAACCACCCTAGCTTCCAGACAGAGCCCAACCAGAGCCAAGCCCGCTGGCTTTCCAAACCTTCCCTCAAATCACTAGCACAAGCTCAAATCCTGTAAGAAGTCATTCGAACACTGTCGAGATGCCAGGTCCCGTGGCGTGCCTTCTCCATCACTACAAAACCCAAACCTGTTGCCCTCGAGTCGATTCCGACTCATGGCGACCCTACAGGGCAGAACAGAACTGCCCCATAGAGTTTCCAAGAAGTGCCTGGGGGCTTCAAACCGCTGACCTTCTGGTTAGCAACCGCAGCTCTTAACCACTACGCCACCAAGGTTTCCCAACCATCACTACAAGGGGCAAAAAACTCAACCTTTTTGGCCACTGGTGTGTTCCTGGGGGCCTTTAGGCTGGAGGGCGCTGACAGTTTATCGCAACGCCTGCCACCCAATACACTCAAATAATTATTCCCGGTGGACTTTATAACATCCCTGCTTGGGGGCGGTGCTCCAGGACAGCACACCGTGGCTCATCTGGGATCCGCTGCCCGTGGACCCCTCGCCTCAAATGGAAACTGGTCTGCGCGCACACATTTCCAATATGCGTACGGACCGGCCCGGCCGAGCGCCTCCGCCTTCGCGACCGCCAGAAGCTGCTCCTCGGCTCCCCTTTCCCAGCTCCACGCGGAGCGACGGCCGGACAGCGCCCAGAGCCGGGCTCCCACTGCTCCCCACAGGGCCCCGCGGCCCCCGCGCTCGCCCCCTGCCGCCTGACCTCGTCCAGGTCCACGTAGGGCCCGGCGCCCTCGGGGAACATCTCGTCCACAGCTGGCTTCATCCCGACCCGCAGCTCCAGAAGCCGGCCGCTTCCGCCCGCCGCGGCCTCTTCCGGTGCGCCCGCGGCGGCAGGTCTAGACCCCGGAGGACCGCCGACTCTATGGTTTCCCCTCTTCCCCCCGCTCCCGGCCCGCTCCTCGCCGGCGGAGCTTAGCGGATCTGGGGGTTCCCGCCGGCCGGGTGTCCATGCCCGCCGTCGTGTCCAGAGTGCTAGGATGGCCGCGCTCAGCCAACGCTTTCCTGTGCTGCTCGCATCTCTACGGTGGCTGACACTTCTGTTTTTGCAATACCCGCCTTTAACCGGCAAAGAAGCTTGGAGAGGAACTCCGAGGGGCAAGGGGCGCCGCGGCCACAGACGGGCTGGCTAAGGGCCTGGCTCAGAGAGGCGCTGCCAAATGCCCCGTTGTTGCTGACTCCCACTCACGGCGACTGTGGTGTGATGGATCGCTTTTGTGTTGCCTTTCTCCCCATGGTCTTGTAACTCCCACCCCAGTGATTGGGTGGGACTGTGCAAATAGGGAAATTGTGGCCCGCCAAGGGGCGCCAGAAACCAACAGCTGCGCGTGCCCTTTGGGCCCAGGACCCCTGCGCTGAGCAGCTCCTGGAACC